GAAATGCTGTGACAAATGACTTTAACTCAGCATTAGTGCTTTATTATCTTTTAAAGTTTCTCTTTCAAAGGATTTGCTAATAATTAATTGTTTGAAGGCACAGAATTGCACATAAAAAAGTTCAAACTTTTGTAATTTTACGCTCCACTTTACCAACATACGGTCAAATAAAACACGATTACACTGAGTCTTCTTCACAGAGGACATTTATTACTATGTCATTAAATACATTTTTCATTGCTTATTGAATCAAAACAAATAAAGAACATCTTTTTCCAACAGAGCTTACACACAATTTTTTTTAGCTCCTTCTAAAAAGCCTCAAGTGGACAGATGTGAGAAGGCTGCCTTTGTTGTTTTTATCTGAATGTGAACAGTGACGTTCCTGACTTCGGTCGCCTCCTTCTCCCCGATGACATGATAAAACCATGATAAAACTATGATAAAACACGTGTAACACACAGGCAGCGCTGAGTGAAAAGTCAGCCTGAAGCTAAAGCTCACTGATGAATACTAATGCATGGAAATGGGTCGCCCCCTAATGAAATGATGCACATCAACACAGTGATGCAGTCAGCACTCACACGCAGCAGGTGGGATGCAAACAATGGCCCGCCGCTGCCTGTTCCTCCTCCCCGTTTAGGCATCACTCATGACTGAATCATTGTTCTGCAACAACCAAACTGTGACTTTGTCAAAGAACACAGCGTTCAGTAATAAAAACAGATTGCCTGATTCTTTTCGCAGTTTTGTTTCCTGAAAAACACCAAGATGATTATTTGTTTTACAGGGAACAAGCGTTTTGAAATGAGCTCCCTCTGTAGGGAGGGGGGCTGAGAAGCTCCATCATCCAGAGGCAGCAAAATCTAGAGACAAAAACGGACTGAACTGAGATGTTCAAATGGAGGCAGATCAGCTGCTTGTGGTGCAATTGTAACAAATCTACACATGTGGAGTTTTAGTTGAAGGATGTGACGTCATTTCCAAAATATATTTCTTCATTTGTTGTTTGGATCACTGCAAAATCAAAAAACAATCATCTCTAAGTGATTGAGTCGTTTAAGATATGTTTGTGCTTTATGAATAAACTGTAAGTTCGTAGAGGTTAAAGGTTGGACATCAGTCCTGGTGTTTGCCACAGACCCATCTGAGCTGAGGTCGGTCTCTGACGTCTGTAATCTCTGACGCGGAGGACCAGCTGCACTGGCAGCCGTACGCCCGGGAACCTCTCCTCTTCCTCAGCTTGGTTCTGAGCTTCAGACTGTCCGGCATGTTGTTCCTGCCAACAGACAGAATGTGGAAAAAAAAGTTGAATCATTACGGAAGACGTGACCTCGGCGGTCTCCAGTTCAGACAGGTCTTTGCAGGGCTGCTTCGAATTACTTTTATTTTTCATGTAAAATTCATTAAGAAATTTAGAATTGTTTGATGTGAAGTCATAAAATCATTTGAAAGAAGAAATATTTGTAAGTGCTGTACGGAGAAAAAGAAAAACCAATTCTTGTTCTTAAGACAACTTTTTGACTAAAAACAGGATCATTCAGGGACCGAGAATGGTTTTTGTTCAGAGAAATCTAACAATCATTTATTAACAATACTAATAATTAGATCAGTGGTTCCCAATGTTCGGGTCGGGACCCCTCTGTGGGTCATAAAACATCAAGTGAGGGTCCTCAGATGATTTCCACACATCTGTTTAAATGGAAATAATTAGTTTATTTTTAATATTTTCACCATAATTATTGAACTACTACTACTACTACTACTAATAAATAATAATAATAATAATAATATTAATAATAAATAATAATAATGAATAAAAGTAGTACTATAGATGGTTTTAAGTCCATGTTTAACAGAGTTGATAGCAAAGTTTGCACACAAATGTCAGTAATATAAGTTCACAGGTTTCTCCGTCCATCTGTCTGTTTCCTTCCTCTTATCAGGGGTCAGGTCTCGGGGGCAGCAGCCTAAGAAGGGGCCCAGACTTCCCTCTCTCCAGCCACTTGGGCCAGCTCGCCTGGGGGAATCCCAAGAAACATAGTCCCTCCAGCGTGTCCTGGGTCTTCCTCTGGGTCTCCTCCCAGTGGGACGTGCCCGGAACACCTCACCAGGGAGGAGTCCAGGAGGCATCCTAACCAGATGAACCACCTCAACTAGCTCTTCTCGACATGGAGGAGCAACAGCTCTACTCTGAGACCCTCCTGGATGACTGAGCTTCTCACCTTCTCTCTAAGGGAGAGCCCAGACACCCTGAGGAGGAAACTCATTTCGGTCGCTTGTATCTGCGATCTCGTTCTTTCAGTCACTACCCAAAGTTCGTGACCATAGATGAGGGTAGGAACGCAGACCGACCGGTAAATCGAGAGCTTTGCCTTCTGGCTCAGCTCTCGCTTCACCACGACAGACCGGTACAGCACCCGCATCACTGCAGACACAGCACCAATCCGCCTGTCGATCTCCTGCTCCGTTCTTCCTTCATTCATGACCAAGACCCTGAGATACTTAAACTCCTCCACTTGGGGCAGGACCTCCTCCTCGACCCGGAGGCGTGCGGCACGCTACCGGTTTCCGGCTCAAGACCATGGTCTCGGATTTGAAGGCAGTGATCCTCATCCCGGCCGCTTCAGACTCGGCTGTGAACCGCTGCAGTGACAGCTGGAGGTCACAATCCGATCAGAGGTTTCTGCAGCTGTTATTTTGTTACATGGAAAACCACTGATTTAGATTGCTGATTAAACTACTGATTAATACAAATAACATTTTGATTATAAATTTCAGAAATAAAAAAAGGACACATTTCATCACAACATATCAGAAATCAAGATGGAACTATCTGCCAACAAAATAATTTTTTTGTAAAATATTTTATGAAAACCTTGATTTATTGTGCTTCATAAAATAAAATTAAATAAAATAAAGCACTAAATCACCAACTATAACTCTACCATACTCTGTAATTCTTCTGTTTTTATTTTACTTTTCTGCACTTTATTTATTTATTCATTTATTCATTTATTTATTGGGGGGTTAAAGCTCATTGTCAGTTTCTTTTTTTATTTTTAAATTAAAGCAAATTTAGTCATAGAAGGTTGATGACAGAAGTTAGTCTGAACCCACAGGTTTTATTTAAATATTTAAAGTGTGGCCAGACTGTGTGCACCAGCCGCCTGGGCAGCTGAGAAAAGACAGTTTCAGTTTACTGATTCATGCTGTTCATTCTGAGGCCCCCACATGCAGCTTCTATAAATATCCTGGGAACATTTTCCTACAAAGTAAAACATTGGGTGTGAAAATTAGCAGAAACTTCTAACCTTTATCGTTTATAAGCTGTCCTGCTGCCATGTGAATAATTAATTGGATTATATGTAATAAATGCTAAGGGTGTAAAAATTATCAATACACCAAAATATTGTGATGTACTGACACTGTATTGATTTTCAACACAAATTATTAATATTTAATTAAGAGTTACATCAGATTTTATGCAAGTAATTCTAAACACTAAACTTGTTTTTTAACATTCAGAAGTGTCTAAAATTCAATCAAGCTTGAAACATCTGTAACACCAGGCTGCACTACCTTCTAATCTGACACAAGTTGGGCACATGAACAAAAACATGAGGAGTATTCAACAGACTGAAAAGTCCCCTGCATCTGAAAATCCCCTCTCCAGATGTTTGATTAGGTTTCCTTTGCTCATAAAGATTTTCTATTAAGATGGCAGCTGCATTGGCTTAAAAGTTGGGTTGAAAATTTGTTTTTGAAAATGTTCAGTTATTGCATTCCCAATATGATTCTGATAAAATTATGTTTTTAATATGCAAACGTGCTACAAACTGTGAAAACAGCTATAAAATATGACACGAAGGATTCATGTTTATCATTAAAATCCCTTTTCTGCTGCTTTTTGCTTAAAGAAATGAATATACTTTACAAATGTTTACAAATTTTCTACAATTTAATCGACTATGACTCAGTTAAGACTCACTTAATAAACGTCCTGCTCTTGCCGTTCATAAAAATACCCCTCGATCTTCGGTGAATTAAAATGTTCACCACTAAATTAAACAAACAGGCAAACATGAGGCTTGTTTGTTCTTCGCCGCCCGTTTTGAAACAATTTAATTTAATCTAATCAATTTATGACGTTAAAATCTGATTCCAGTTCAAACAGAATAACCTATTGTCAACATAATTATGGAATGTGATTTATTTTCAACTCAAAATATCTTCAAACTAATGAAATATGGAGTTATTAGTGAGAAAAATCCATCTGGATAACAGCAGACTGATTGATCGTAAAATATACGACAGGTCTGGACCACAATTTTGTTCATATCTGAAAAAAACCTTAGAATCTGAAAAAATTGGTGATTATCACAAAGTCTCCTAAATCACTCGTACGCACAACTTAAAGTGTATCTTACCCCCCCCTGTGAAAAGATAACTCCGCCCCAAGGCGAAATTTGAAAAATGCATCAAAGTGGATAGGGGAGGGGTTGTGGGTAGGGGAAGGGGGGTTAGAGAGCGGAGGTGTGGCCAGGACGAGAGAACGCAACAGGTAGCTAGCATTAGCATAATTGATGCTACATGGAGAGTGACCACAGTATCACAGATAGTTACATCTCTGAACGTCTGAGGTGGAGGATTTTCACCCCACACCAGCTTCGGACAGAGGAGGAGGAGCGCTCCGACAGCCTGACAGAAAAAATAAAAGGACAGCTGCTCATGATCACTAGTTTAAATCAGGAATAAAAGTAGTTTACCTGTATAAAGA